ATATTTAACGTTTAGTGTAACGATGTTGTGGGTACGCCGTAGAGGAATGTGAAACCATAGTTTATTTAACAAGAATTCCAATTACAAAAATACCTTAGATGGGGTTGAAAGAGAGGATATTGTTCAACATATATATAGTTTTTGTGCTCTTTGCAAAGTTTGGCGTAATTTAAAATGTCTGAGCTTTTGAAAGGTTAGCATTAAATATTTTTATGATATATACCAGAGGATGGGTCCAATATATGTTCTCATAGATGAATATTTAAAAGGCGCACATTTTATTTTTCCAATTTCATAGATTTTTTTTTTTTTTTTCGTAGACATACACTACTATAGACCCTAAAGGTAACATTTTCGAGATAAATTCCATCTCTTTAGATAAATAGAGTTAACAAATTGTCGTTTCTAATCTGCAAGATCCACTACTTAACATCTTATGTTGTATAAAGGTGACGGTGACGGTGACAACATCGTAATTTCAAAACAAGTAAAGAGCGATCTTTAAAATGATCTCAATTCGATCAAATATACGCTTATTTAGGGTAGAAGAGCTTCAAACATGCTCTAGATAAAGAAAAAAGAGATCAGTATATCGTGATGACCTTTGAGTAGGACAAAAAGAATTTTTTATTTTCTGACCCGTTATACGAAGCAACAGTTTAAAGGGAAAATATAAAATAAATCAAATAAAAATGTAGTTTGTGTGATTTTGCGCAAAATAAGCAAATATGTACGTATATATAAGAACTGTGTAAAGCTACTAATAAATGAGTAAATTTTCTTTAGATTGCAGAACAAAGGCTTTTTGAAAAATTTGACGCCCAAAGGAGATATTTGTCTCATTTTGAAGATGCATTCTTCAAATATTTTTTCAGATAACCCAAAAATCTCGCTAGACAATGTTATAAAAGAAAAGGAACCCACACGAAAAGCCAAATGCTTCTTCTCCCTCTAATGGAACTTAGTTTTTAATGCGACGTTTTAAGACGTAAATTACTTTAGAAGTTTGTAGATAATAGTTATTTGATTCCACTGAGTCGAGGACGTGTAAGACACAGTCTTACCAAGTTGTAAGAAACGTTTGTACAGATTACGCTTGACAAGGTTGTTCATTTTTTTTTTTTTTTTCTTGACTATACATATATATAGAACTATTATATAGAATCAATTCATATTATATAGAATTAATTCTTATGTAAGTTTTTGATTTGCGCTATAATGCTTACTAACTAGCCCGCCTTTAAGTGCAAGTGCAACAAGTGTACCCATTCGCACGCGCGTTTAGTCCTTATCGTAAGTGACAGAAGATATCGAAGTACGAAGTAATCAGGTCCCTTTTTTCTAAATCATTTACATACGTCTTGTTATGTCGTTATATTTATCGGTTATCCTCTAAACATTTTCTCATTATGAATGTGCATACGTCGTAATAATGTATTTTCGAAAATATTTTCATCATTTTGTCAAATCGTTGCATTGCAGCCCAATTTCACAGATATTCTGGTTTTGGCGAGCATTCGACGAGATCGCTACAGTTCACTTGTTAATTTTTGCCTTTTTTAGTTTTCTTAACAATCTCGCTTTAGCGTAAAATTGACATTTTAAGCATTTGTTTTGATTATTGAATATCAAGTTTGATTCAAAGTCGTAACGATCGTGACCGAAAGCTCTCACTGTCACAAGTTCTTATGATTGGTTGGATTAAATGTCAGACTGCGGCCGTTCCTTTCTTGAGCTATGCTAATATTATGCCAGGAAGTGAGCTATTAGTGCAAAAAGCCAACTCAATTATCATGAGGAACGCAAAAGAGCTAAAGTCTGCACTTATTGCATGCTTTCTGAAGCCCCTAAACAAATTAAATTTACTATTTGATCTGGACGTTTTTTCTTTATAGAAATGAGAAATCAGAAAACCTGAATTGCTTAAAGTAAAACTTATATTAATTTTTTTAAAATTAACAAAAGCCCTTTGCCACCTTAAATAATAATGAAAATAATGAAAGATAAATAATTAAAATTTATAAGTTATAAAGTAAAACTCAAATAATAAAAGATTACAGATTCAGTGTTCAAAGCGATTGGATCTAAACTTTAGGCCATTTACACTACTTGCTAAAGCCTGCTAAGCGTGCAACTTCATGTGTAAGCATTTGCAGTAAAAATATGGGGGAAAAAAAAGAACTTTTTTGTTATGAACAGTAGTTGGTTTACAAGCTCAATTCTATTCTAACTTTTTAAATTTTATATTAAGATATTGACAAAAAGTATTTAATTAATTGTTCTATTCTCTGACTATTATGAATTCTGTTCATTTAAACCCTATAGTATATATTTTTATATGCAGTGCGAATGCAAATGTAAACGCCCATTGCAAATCCAATAAAACAACGCAACAACGGAACACAAAAAAAAAAAAAAAAATAAATAAATAAAAATAAAAAAAAAAAAAATATAGCAAATACAACTACACATCAAATAAATATTAAGTAAATAAACAATCCTATTAATACAATGATTACAACTACAATGAAAAAGAAATATCGTCAATTCGAGCACATGCGAAATAATAAAAAGGGCGTTCTGTCAGATACAAAGATAGATAAAATTACTTTTTATAGCCAAATGAGAAACCCGAACCACTTATTGGTACACTCGCGAAGCGCACAATCATCATATGAGAGAGAGAGGAGTTCGTTTCAATTTTATATTGCAAGATTACAAATTTCAATTTGAATAGAAGAAACGAAATCAACCACCTGGCAAATGGAACGACGGCCGCCGATTGGCTGCATAACGTATGAAATAAATATTAAAAAATCCAATTCAATGATGCGAGAACGAGTAAGCGAACACAGAAGCGATATGCGCAAGAAGAGCGTAGTGGAAAAAATTAATTTATATAAAAGAAATCCACACTCTGATATACGCACACACACACACACACACGCAGCCAAATATACATCTTGTATGCCACGGTCGTTCATCCACAACCAGTAACAACATATATATATGTATATATATATGTGTATATATATGTCTATACATATGTATATATATATATATAGCAACCGTAAACACAACAGTATATATATATATATATATAAATATATATATGCATACATATACATTATAGCAAGCCGGCAATACAAAGAGTCTCCTCAGTGTTGTTTGTATTTTGTTGTTTGTTGAATTCAATAATATAATAAGAGAATAAATCCACATCTTCACTATATGCACATATGCACAAGAAAAAACAAAAAAACAACAAAAAAACAACAAAAAACACCACATAACGTCGGGAATAAAGAGTAGCAGCAAAATGCAAAAGAAACGAGAATGGAAAAAAGAGTTGCTCGACAAGAAACAAATGTAAAATGAAACGTACATATGTGTAGCCAGCATATTTGCAGAAAATGCAAGCAAGCACATATCACTTAATGGCATCTGCTGAAAAATTTAATGTGCATTTAAGTACATACATTTGACCAAGTATTAATTTTTTTATGTACATATCAAGGAAAAGCATAACTATATTTTCTCTTCACAGTTCTTCATACAAAGCAGCAAAACGTTTTTATATCGACAACCATATTACATAGTGACATACACAAACTTATAATCAAAAAAAAAAAAATAAATAAATAAAATAAAAATAAAACATTTATTTACGTAGTAAGAGGAAGAGATGGATCATGTGGTATTTGGTTGATTACGATTTATAGGAGAAAATTTCTAACAGGAATGTGAAATTAAACAAAATAATTTAGGATAAAATTGTAAATGATAAAAAATATTTTATATTAACAAATTTCACTTTAGTAGATGGCAATGATCATATTTAATTTATAAATATTTTATAAATATATTTGAATACTCTCCATCATATGTAAGTATCCCTTGGCCTACTTCTTATAGCGATAGTGTTATTATTATGAAACATAAGTAAATATATTACACAACTTACGATCAGAAGACAAAACCATTTTTTTAACCTGGTGGGGAACGAGTTGAAAAAATGAAATCATGTCAAAGAGAAGATATTTAAAATATACTTGACAGAAATTGATCCCTAGAGTGACTAGTTTTCACACCCGCAATCGAAAAATTTTTTTCATTCGAATTTTTTTTTTTTTTTTTTTTTTGTTGCGACAAATCATTCAGCGAATGCGTTCTATTCGCAGAGAGTCATTCGATTTATATTAATATGATTGATCTGTTCTCAAATATCCCTATGAAGCTTGCAAAGCCTAGTACACAAAGGATTTCGATCAACAACTCACTGCTCGCGGGTTCAACTCTTAGGTGCGATAAACTTTTGAATATAAAACCCCCCAGCCTTAGATGTTGATTGCTTTAAGACTTCAGTTGTGGAATCTATCGCTCTACATGTAGTAATATATAATAGAAATTATCAAAAGATTTATTAAAGATGATCTGTAATAATTAATCCCGAGCAATGCTGCGACAATTAGAAAAGAGCTTTACAAGCGATATATATCTGTTTCGAGATAGTGGTTATGCAAAATTCGCAGCATAGTGAATATATTTTTCATAAGTTTTTTGTTAATGTTGCTTGTTTATAAATATTCGGTTGATTGCATGTGTTTGTCTGTTCATACATAAAAATATATAATTATATATATAAATATGTATATATATATTCACAAGCTATATTGGTAACTTGCCTACTACGACAGCTATTGACAAGCAACTAGTGTGTGCTTGTGTTTCGCATTCCGATTCCGATTTGAAACGGATTAAATTTGATTTTTTTTCTTTTATTTTTCTCTCTTTCCGTTTTGTTCGCCTCTCGTTGTCTATCCAGTCTACTTATCTCATTCGGTTTTTGATCGTCGTCCATACAACGGCGTCGTGTTATGGACGGAGTCTTTATGCTTTTTATTAGCTAACACACAACACAATTTGCCGTTTTCTTTTTTTTTCTATTTCATCAAAAGAAAAAAAAAATAAATAAAAATAAAAACAAAATTTTGCTAAGAAATTTATGGTGCATTAATTAAAAATATAAAATAATAATATCGCTGAGTGAAAAAAAATGCAAGTGAATAATATCCCCTATATTTATCGCAAGCAACTTTTCAATTACTTAGAAAAGAAAAAAAAAAAAGGATAAATTAATCGAATTATTTTACGATCACATTGATTGAGCAGCGCGAGCTCGGCTTAATTCAATATAATTGCCTGTCTTTACGTAAATATTATACCTATGTATATATATATAGATCTATATATATATATATATATATATATAGATGTATAAAAAGAAACAGTAATAGTGAGAATTGAAATATATCTAAAATGGTTTTATTATTAAGTGTGACAGAAAATACTACGCGATAAAATTGAATTGAAATATATTTGTTCGAAAATTAATTATAAAGCTTATTTTTTTTTTGTTTTTTAATTTTTATTATTATTTTTTAGTGTTTATTACTATTCTGATAAAATAGTGAAATTAATTTTATATGTTAATCGCTAGCTATAAATGCAATAATAAATGCAAGAGCAGTGCACATGCTTTAAAAATGCGCACCAAAAAGATATTTTGTGTCTAATTACGTAATACATTTACAAATATATTATAACTATATATAGAGCGAAAAAAAAAAAAAAAAACAAAAAAAAAAAAACAAAAAAAAAAAAAGATCATCAAATTTTGCTTGATTACACTTTTGAATTGACTGCCGTAAAGGAATAGATTGCATATAAATATATATATATATATATATATTCATATATATATACATATATGTATTTGCTATATATTTTTCACTGACAAAATTCACTGAGAGAATTATTGTTACGATGTACCTCCTTAAAAATGTACGTTAAATAATTCCGAGCTATTCATTTGTGTGTTGAACGGGAATTCTACAGTTTATTTAAAATTTGTGGTAATGGTACTGAATACTATGGACTGTTCGGGGCGTTCAAACACCATTGAACGCGACTCGGAATTGGGTGATGACATGGTAAGTGCGTCCCGTTAATCATCCTCATCATCATCATCGTTATCATATTGCCGTCGGTATTGTATGAAATGTAAATTTTAATTAAAAATATTTTTGTGAAAGGATTTGAGAAAAACTTTCTAAATTTAAAAATGCCTCTCCTTTTGTAGAAAGGAGAGGGAGAATTTTCTGCCAAGTTTTTGAGATCTTAATATCTATCACATATATGACGAGTTCTTTTCAATATGCCATGATTTTCTATTTCAAAACTTTCTGAATTTCAAAATTTTTCATAACTCTTAGTGGAGAGGATGAGAATTTCAAAGATTTTCTGCCAAGATTTTCTTATCTAAGATCTATCATACATGAGGCGTCCTCTTCAATATGCATGAATATCTTCTTCGAAACGTTCTTCTGATAAACGATCCGTGAATGGCTTTTTCAATGGATTAACAATTCTTTCGTTTGCCTTCATTACTTTTCCTTAAGGCACTTGAACATAATTATCTATTATAATAAACTTTTCTCACATTTCTGTTAAAATTTGCGATCGTAAAGCCTTTGAGAGTTAAAATGAAAAACATTTGTTATCGTCTTCTTCTTCTTCCTCTTTTTCTGTAATTCATCAACTGAATAAAACAAGATTCGTTGTGTTATAGAAAACAACTTTCAATGTGAATACGAAATTCTTTGTTGGAAAATTAATAAAGTTGTTTAGTTAATTAATTTTTTTTTTAATTGAGTTATATGCCGAACTTTGTTTGTGTTTTCCCTAACGAGAGCATTAAAAGTCTTAAAACATTTGTATTAATACAAAATTATTGGTAAGGAAACTAACTGTCATTATTTATCTAAATAAATTGTTTTCTTATCATAATGAGTGATTTTACTTTTGTCTACTCTTTTAATGAAGACACACACACACACACAGAATTGACTTTTCAAAACTACATTTCTTGCAATATCTAATGTAAATAACAATTCTTTACATTAAATTTTGAATCAGTGCAAATATTCGTACGAACACTTTATTTATATGTATATGCGATGAGTACATATTGTCATCTTTTACTTTAATTTTGCGTAAGACAAGGTTATCGGAAATTTTGATTGTGTACTGGAAGTGTGATGCACAAAACTTTTACTTTTAATGGGGCGGGCTTCGCTTGGATTCATTCTAGTTAGAGGTGATCGGTCAGTTTAGAAAGTTCAACCTTCGCATTAGAAAGTTCAACCTTCTGAAAATGTTGCGCCACTTTGCTTATTATTATTGAAGAAGGGCTATACATTAACTTCTTTTCTCCGTTTGTGACATCTATAAAGTGTACATACATATACAGTTAGTTTGTGATCGTCTGCATGCCGCCTCTTTTAGAGACAATCATGGTCCTTTATGTACGCCTAATCAATGGTCAGTCCCCCCCTTGGCTAAAAGAAAAAAACAAATGAAAAATTTTTAATAACCGACATAAATATTTCCTATGACCGTCTAAGCTTTCACCATAAATTGCTTGCATCCCCTTAATGCTTACACTTGGAATTGGTAAAGCATGCTATAATTTTTATGAACTGGTTTACCGTTTATAATTGTAGATTATTGAAATCTAATGCACGCCCATTATGAACAAAGAGGCTACAGTTTACAATTCATAATATATATTAATCTGCCGGAAGGAGGCTCCTTCGAACTAAATTTAAACCATGAACATACAATGAAAACATTATACGTCCTTTGCCTAGATACTCGAAATGGATGAACAAGATCACAATTTCCTCAACAAAATTATTCGAATCGATGAGATCAGTCGTGTAAGGAAATAAGAAAAATTCTTGGATCTGAGTTGCGGAAAATCCAAGTCGAATTATTTCTCTAACCATAGCGAACGATAGTTTGATGCGATTTTGTGTTGACATTTATAAAAATGCCAGTAGTTTAACGGTTTTTTTTTTATATGTCAAACAGAGTGAATCATTTGTTGTTGATTTGCTGACTTGCAGAAGAAGAACAAGTTGAACAGTTGCCCTACAGTCCATGTTGTCTGATTTTTTTGCTCTCAAGCTCATGTCATGAATGTGAACTGTGTTCACTTAGAAGCTGTTGCGAATGTTCACCCAAGCAGATGCAATTATGTCCTAAAACCAGTGATAAAAAAAGTCTGTATTAACCGTCTGACAGGAAAGCAAATAGCAAACCAGTCTCCAATTTTGAGTTGGCAATTTCAGGCGATGGGTATCGCAGTTCCGCAGTTTTCCCATTGGTGTCTACTTAAAAATTTAATTCGATAAAGACAAACAGATCTTGTCCTTATTAATAAAGTGTTTGCGGAATCATAAATGGTTCAGTTTTACTTCTTTTAGGGTTTGGAAACGTTCATAGTCGGCATTGTTAAATTCCTTTTGATATCCAGAATGTTACTCCGTCTCTTGCCAATCTATACTGGTATTGAAAGACTTTTTCCTTTTTCGATCATTCCTATGGAAGAAATTTAATTTTTTCTCTATTTATTATATAATGAGATAGCAACTGAAGATAGATTCTTTTCCTGTAAAGGTCTTATAAAGAAATACAGTTTTTCATAAACCGTGGAACATCAGTAAAAAACTCTGGTTAAGATATTTTGAGATTTTCGGGTTTTTTAAATATTATAATAAACACAATCGTATCTTAGATGCCTTGCACCAATTCCCGAACAATAGGCACATCAAGAAACGCATCAGGTTCATATTTATTTCTAATTATCACGGGGTTTTAGTTAAGAGGCGTGGCCAGTTTTATAAAAGGAACCAAATCTGACATTCTCTGCAACTTTGAGAATGGAAGAATCGTTAAATGCCAAGAGAGAGAGAGAGAGAGAGAGAGAGAGAGAGAGAGAGAGAGAGAGAGAGAGAGAGAGAGAAATAGAGAATGAGAATGAGAAAGGTAATGGAATTCAGAGAATGGAGAACAGTATATAAAGACAGTGTAGTCCTTTTATAAAATACTTGTATATTATGCGATCTTTATGAGATGAGGGCTGGAAACCAATGAAGAGTGCATTTCATCGTCCTTTCTTTTCTGTTTTTTTATTTGTATTATTTGCCTTTCATTAACTAGGAAAAAAAAAAGAGAAAAGATTTTTATACCTTTCGTTATCTTCACTTTGTGCACGTAAGAGTCAATGATTCCTTTGATTAAGTGAGTACTGCTTTATTATGTGCTAATGTTGTTGTTCGAATATTAATTATAAACTTTATCGTTGTGCGGTTGATGGTAAACGTTCACGAGTAAATTTATTGATCAAATATTAAAATTATTTATTTAAGTAATTTGTTAGCAACTTAAATGAATATTAAATTGGACTTTTATTCTTTATTTGTGTTTATTTTTTTATTGATTTCGAAGTTTTTTTTTTTTTTTTCATTTCTATCTTTCGCTGAAGTTTGTTTAGGCTGACGCCTTAACCTGCGCGCATCTTAATGTAGTAAATGATGCAGTGTTATCTCCCTTGCTTAAGCCTCTCAAAGACAATCGTGAAAACAAAAAAGAAGAAGAAGAAGAAGAGTTTAATAAGCAAATCGTAAAAGGAGTGGCATAAGTTTCCTCACTTACAGTGAGGAAGTGAATGAAATAGTCGACTCTGACCTCTCTTTGTTATTGCTTTTTAAAGATTCGTGTGTGGTCATTTTATTTTATATATATATATATATATATATATGTGAGATATTTCATGTATTTGTTGACAAACAATAAAGTTTCGGTAGATTGAGTCATTATCATTATCATAAACCTAAGATTCCCAACAATTTATCTTGTTAGACATAAAGTTTCTCTTCAGGCGATTCTTTAAAGTTTTTCTCATGTATTGAGAAATCAAGAAATTGAGGAGAATAAGCTACCGCTCTTACTCAATGGTCAAGTTAGGTAGCGCTAGGTGGAAGCGGCAGCTTGCTGGCACTCGGGCCTCACAAATTCGGATAATAGGGTATAGGGTGAATAATATCAAGTATTTGAGTAGTGAAAATCAATGCACTTATTACGTTTTCTATATGAATTTTCTAATGCGTTGGATGCTGAAAACAGATCTCTAAAATTATTCAATCGTAATGTGGTGGGTGCTTTGTTTATGCACAGGTATATCCAGGGCAAGTGTTGTTCAGCTACTAAGTCCTTCAATAGGGCTAAAGGGCTTTCTCCGAGTTCTTATCCACTCGTCCTGGAGATACCTGCATACGGCGCAATACACTACCAAGATTCGTCGTTCTTTAATCGTACTGTCCGCCTTTGGGGGCACTACCTACCCGCAGTAGTCTTTTTCACCGTACCTGATGTCTGCATTCTCAAGTCCGACGTTCTCAAGTATTGCTCCCTTGTCTCGATACTCGTTTCCTAAAACCTTTCCCGATCACTACTGCGCCCGCACGTGTAGGGAATATCTCCTGAGTGACTGATCATTGAAAAGAAGATTCATTTTGTGTAAGCCTCTACTAGATCCTTAAGTTTTTGTCGAAACTCGGTGGCCAGCTTTAACACATATGGAGATAAAAATTGAAAAACGTGCAGCCTATCAAATCCAGTGTATCTATAGCCAAGGAGTACCAGGAGGAACAGCCGATGCAATTGCGTCGATCATTTAAAGAAGAAAATCTTGTGCAACAAGCGAACACGCATCACGGGTTGATTTTTCAGCATGACGACGCACAACTTCATTTTGTAAAACTCCTCTGGCAGACTTTAGGTTTAGCAGTGCTGGACTGAACTACGCTATCACCCGCTTTGTATTTACTTAGCGTTTTTAAACAGAGTTCCCACTCTAGTGACTAATGAAAAATGTCCCTTTATCTGGACTGTCTCAGCGCCTCACTTGAGTTTTGGAATCATGAAATTCACATTCACAAACATAAAGAAAAAGGAGTAGCTAACCATGGCCAATACTTAAAATCAAATATATAAACCAAACCATAATTCATTTTTACAGCTGGTAACACTTAGATAACCGAACGAAACGAAAGCAAAGCGAAATTCAACTACGTCCTGTCAGTTA